TGAATCAAGAATCCCCTGAGGACCGCTTTACTTGCTTCCCAGACTATGTCAATTTTGGTTCCTTTGTTTAAATTCCATTCAAAATACTCTTTCAGGGTGTTTTTTGCTTTCTCAATAATCTCTTCGTTTTCTAATAGGTATTCGTTCATTCTCCACCTGTACTGTCCCAGTGATCTACTTTTTATTTCCAAAATAATTGGGTTGTGATCGGAGAGTGTTCTAGGTTCTATCTCACATTTCCTTGTTCTTAATGATAACTCTCTTGAAATCCAAATCTGATCGATTCTGCCCCAACTCTGATGTACATCTGAAAAGTGTGTAAATTGTCTTATTGTTGGGTTTTTGTACCTCCAAATATCAATCAGATCTAAATTTTTCCTGTAAATCTTTAAAAGATTTTGGGAGTTTCCCTTGGTTCGTCTTTCTCTTTTTTTCACTCCTATCCATTTCAGGGTCGGGGACTCCATTTAGGTCTCCTAAAAGAATTAATTTGTGGCTCTCTAATTCTAATAACATTTGTTCCAATTTTTTAAAGAATTCTGCTTTTTTTGTATTGGGGGCATAGACCGTTATTACATTAAATTTTTCTCCTTGATGATTAATTTGAACTCCCAGAATTCTTCCCTCTTCATCCTTACATATTAGTGTCGGTTCCCATTTCTCTTTAACATAAACCACCAGTCCTCTTTTTTTGCTGACATCAGAATTAATAAATTCCACCCCCAACTTTTTATTAATCAATACATGTTTATGTTTTTTAGCTATATGAGTCTCTTGGTAGCATATCACATCATAATTTTTGTTCCTCAAAACTTTCATTATTTTATTCCTTTTGGATTTTTCATTTACGCCATTTACATTCCAGGACAAAAACTTCAAAGACATTACTAAAACTAAGTTCTGGTTGCTCCTCTTTCTCTTCCTAACCTTCTTCCTCCGCTTCCTCCGCTTCTTCGCCGCTCTCTAGTCCCTCTTCATTCCCCTCCCCTCTCCCTCCTTCCCCCCTCCCAACCTCCCTCCCTCCCCCCCCCTCCCACCCCCACCTCCTTCTCTGTCTCTGGTATTGTCCTCTGCCTTGCCAAGTTCTTTCTCATATCTCCTCATAAATTTTTCCACTTCCTGTTGGTCTGTCAACTTGAATTTCTTATCCTTAAAGAAGAAAGCAATTCCTTCAGGAAATTCCCATCTGTATCGTATCCTGTTTCTTTTCAGGACTGCTACTATTTGTCTATATCCCTCTCTTTTGCGTAAAATTCTAACTGGGATTTCCTTCAGAACAATTATTGGCCTGCCACCAATTATTAGCTTTTTATGATAACTCGTTTTTAATATTAAATTCTTCATCTCAATTGAGTTAAATATTACTAAACAGTCTCCAAGAGGTCTTTTTATCCTATTTTGGACTATTCTCATTTTTATTCTAAAAGAGTTTTCAATTGTGTATGCGACATCTTCCTCTTTCAGATCTAACCATTTTGCTAACTCTTTGGTCATCTTTTCCTTTATGTTCTCATTTGTCTCTTCCTCTACTCCTCTGAATTTTAAATGTAATTGTTTCTGTCGCATTTCTGTCATAGCAATATTATCCCAGATTTGTTCTTGCGTTTTATTCACCTCTCTCATCTCTTCCTTTATTTTTTCAGTCTCTTTTTTCTGTTCTCTCATGTCTTTTTGCATTTTTTTATTGGTTTCCTCAAATGCTTTGGATTTGACAGATAGTTCTTGAATTTTTATGGAGAGTTCTCCTACTGCTCCTTCTATCCTCCTATCTATCATCTCCTGCATTTCTTCTAGTTTACTTTCTAGATGGCTTTCATTTTGTTTAAACTCCTCTTTGATTTTAAGCCATAGAATATCAAGGTCTTTAATTTCCTCTTGTCTAGATGTCTTTCTATCCGTTGGGGTTCCTCCCCCCTTTTTCCCATTTTTCCCCAACATCTTAAACCTTCTTTCCACTATATATGTTGTCACTAGGTCTCTCCCCTTAGGGGCTCACAATCTCCTTCTCTTCAGATAATCAAACTAAGCCTTCTTTAACATATATGTGGGTTTTTAACACTTAGGGTGTTAAGGTGTCTTCTCAAGTTTGTCTATACTTTTTATCTCCTTCTGATTGATTCGATTTGGTTTCTCCAAGCTTCAGCCACTTGCTGGCCTAATCCGTGTAAAGGAAGGTGTTGTAAATCTTAGTGGTAACTCTCAAACCAGAGTACTTTGTCCCTTATTAGAGTAGTCCACTTAAACCAATAATAAACAAATGAGACTATTAAGCTTACTATATTAGGTGAAAGCTCCCCAGAGTCTATTAAGGTGAGAGCCAATAAATCTATTAGGCTATGAGACCGTTTTAAATTAGCTGTTTAGCCAATGTTGTCACGCTAAAAGTCTATTTTCCTTCCAGTCTAAAAGGCAAAGCCACTTTTAGGTTTTATAATCCATTTCTCTTTCCTCAGCAAATAAAGAAAGGTCCACCAATCTGTCCACTGCCTTAGTTAAATGTAGGAAGAGGAGTATAGAAGTGAGGGGCAAGGGGGACAAAGCAGAGGAGGAGAAAGGTCCAGCAGGGTGGGCGAGGACGTCGGGTAGCAGCAAACAATAAATCCAACTAGGGAGGAAATGGGCGAGGGAAGCAGGACCCGCGTGGGGGAATCCCCTTAGCGTTTAGTACTCTTCGCTTTGTTTAATTCCTCCACGGTTTCCCACGGAGCTCCTATTAAAGTATCCTTATTTGTCCCTTTATCTCTATGCCGCCTTCGGTCCCCTTCTCCTAGCTTTTAAGTCCAAAATTTCTCTGCGGCTTTGTCCTCCATAAAAAGAAACAGTGTATTTACAAAACATTAAAAAGGAAAAACCCATCCGACAAGCTTCTCATCCAGCTGGCACCCTCTTTTGTCACTTTATATCTTCTTTTTAGGCCAACTTTATGGCCAATAATTATTTCAATTTGTCAAGAATTGCTGCAGCATTCACTACTCACTCAGTCCGGCCGTTTGTGGATATTGTCCTTTTAAACTGTCTGCGATATAAATGTCTGCGCCATTTCCTGCTCACCAACGGGTGTATTCCTTTTGCAAATCCTTAATCATCCCGGACTCTCTCAGTTTAGTTTCCAAATTCTCTAAATACCTCAGCACACCACACACTGGAGAGTCCTTTCTTATCTGACGAAGATTTATCGCCCTTCTCGGCAGAAGCTGGAGGCATTGCAGCACGGAGTCGGTGCTCTCCCTTTCTTGCGCTCGCGGCCCCACCCTGGGCGTCTTTCCACTGTTGCGAAAAAACCCCAAGCTGTGCAAAAGCCGCTCCCACGCTGCCGGGAAGCCTATCCCCCAGGGTTACCCCCCTGGGATTTATGGGGGGTGCAGTGCCCTTGCAACTCCCCCAAGCCTCCGAACTGCTCAGAAAGCCTTTTACGAGGCTCTCCGCGCTTCCTCGCCGTCCGCGATCCAAACCGGAAGCCTCGACCGCGAGTGTGTGGTTTCAAGTGTATATAAATATGGATACAGATACACACAAGACATATGGCATACAGCAGGATGGATAAAAATCAACATTTTAAGTTTAATATTGACCTTTAATTTCACTATAATTTTCTTTAAAACGTCTTTTAAAAAATAAAACAGTTTCAAAAAGAAATCAATCCAATGCAAAAAAAGAAAAAGAATTAAACCTACGTGTAACCCTCTGAAAGTTAAGACTGAATCATCACCATATATTAAATACATCGAGGGCCTAACAAGATGTGAAATGCACAATCACATATCTGGTTTTCTATTTTCATTTTAAAAATACCAAGCCATGGGCATAGCCAAGAGGGAGGCAGGGGGGCAGCTGCCCCCCCCTCGATTAAGTAAAACAATAGAAATACTTATCTAACGGACCAATCACATCGGTTCTGCCCCCCAACAAAGTCCTGCCCCTGCTAACAAAAATCCTGGCTATGCCCATGTACCAGGCATGGGTCTGGGGCAGGGGTCTGCAACCTTTAAGACAAAAAGAGCCACTTGGACCCGTTTCCGAAGAAAAAAAAACTGGGAGCCGCAAAACTCGTCATTATAAAAATAATTTTTTTGTCACTTTTTTTATTATTTCTTTGTTTGACCCCTCAGAATTACTCCTCCTCATAGAAATAAACGCTAAATTAACAAGTTACCTTTTGTGTGTGTGTGTGTGTTCTTCACTCCCCTTCAAAACAGTGACCAGCGTACATGCCCCCTTTCAATGCAGTGACCAGCGTACATGCCCCTTACAATGTAGCGGGCGGGCGGGAAGGTGACGTCGGGATGGTGCGTGACTAACCCACACACCGCCCCAATGCGACGTCACAGCCAGTACAGCGCCCGCCACAGTGGGGAGTGTCGGGGCGCACAATGCACCTCCTCCCCTCGCTAGTATCCACCCCGGAGCCGCGGCAAAGGTGTAAAAGAGCCACATGCGGCTCCGGAGCCGCGGGTTGCAGACCCCTGGTCTGGGGGAATAAGGCAGAGGAAGATTCTCCCCTGTGCTGCGGTTCCAATGAAAATCACTATTTGCTCTGGATGGGATGCTGCCATTAGTGACAGTGGTATCTTCTCTCTAAAGATGTACAAAATCTGAGTGGGATTTTCATCAATATCAAAAGGTTAAAATCAGCCAAGCAGAAATTTGCCTCCTGCTCAAGGTGATACAATTCTTTAGTGCAAAAGGCATGCAGGCTGCCTGATTAAAAAACAGATCCATTCTTTGGTGTGGTACTCAGTTCATAATTTCCAGTCACCAGCAAAGGTGATTCTAGATGAGGCCTTTATATTGCAAATGGGCCAATTAGAACCTAACACAGAATCATAGAATTGTATAGTTAGAAGGGACCCTGAGGATCATCTAGTCCAACCCCCTGCAATGCAGGGATATGCAGCTGTCCCACATGGGGATCGAACCTGCAACCTTGGCGTTATCAGTACTACGCCCCAACCAAGTGAGCATTCATATTCTGACTTTTGAAGAAAGAACAGCCGCCTCACCAAAACTACCACCATGGAGAAGTAGATCCCGTCTATAATCCTCTTCCAGCAATGTGATGTCCTCAGCTCTGCTCTGGTTCAGTGTAAAATGTTCAGCAACATCAATGGCACTAAGGAGAAAAATGTGACTTTATCTGGAAAGAAGGGATTCAACTGAAAAAGTGTGCTTGTATGTGTTATATAACAGGGGCATATTTTGCTTACAACTCCTAACATCCAATGAACTAAGATTTTATATCTTGTATTATTCGTGTGCAGGGCCGTCTTAAGCATATCCGGCGCCATGGTGCAAAGCCCGTTTCCCAGAGTTGACGACCTTTTTTTTTTTAGGGAGGGAGGACGGCGCTGCCGGCGGGGCTGGAGGAGGCGGGCAGCGGCTGGAGGGCAGCTCCTCCGGCAGGGAAGAGGCGGAGGCTGGACGTGGTGCCTCCCGGCTCAGCTGGCAGCTTCGTGCCATGGTGGCCATGGCAGACGGAGGCTTCGGAAGTGGCACTGCTTCGGCGCGGCATGGCTGAGGCAGGCGAGGGTGGCGAGCTGACGCCAGGAGGCCCCATGTTCAGCCTCCGCCTCTTCCCTGGCGCCCTCCAGAACTTGCCGCCCCAGTGCCACTAGCCTCTATGGGTAAGATGCCCCTGTTTGTATCCTTACTACAGACTTTGCCAACCTAGTGCCCTCCAGCTGTTATGAACTACAGTTTGCAATCATAAACATAACACTGACTTTCTGTCAAAGCACTCCAGGAGGAAAGCACTCAGTGAATGCAGCACTGCTCTTATTACTATTTTCATTCATTGGGGGTTTCTATAATACACATATTATGAACATAGTGATATTGGACTGCCCCAGTGTATTGCTCTGGCAGTAATAATCATGCTTAAAAATTTTTTTAATTCTTCTGTCCAGATAAATCATGCAAAATGCACAAAGTGACAGATATTTGGAAACAATCATGGACCCACATCTTTCTCACATGAGGATGAGTCATCCATGTGAAAATCTGCCAACCATAGATGCATCCCAAGGAAACTTCAAAAAATAAGCAAACTGAAAAGCACGTACTTCACCTCAGGGAGTTGTGTGTCAAAATCATCAAATACTTCAGGCAACGTGATGGCATCATAATTCAATTCTGAGTTCCCTTCTGGGAGATCAACAAGTCCTAAAGAGAGATACAGCACAGGATTAATTGTGGTACGCTGAAATTGTATTTATTATATATGTATCCTGCAGCATATAAAGGTACAAGTAATTGTCCAAGGGCATAAAATATGTTAAAAACAAAGCTGGGGCAGTGTCATTCACATTTGTGTGTCATTTCCTATTCAAGATTGCAAAGGATTGATAAGCATTAATTAAGCAAAAGCGTAAGAGGAACAATCCATTCTACTGAATATGAAAATGCAGGTGAACACTGGAAGCCCTAATCGTACAAGGAATCACCAGACTGGGATGAAACTTAACTGTCATTCATGTCAATAATCTTCAGCAGGCTCTCCAGTGGTTTTCAGTGGATAAGTGGCCACGTAGAGAACAATCTTATACCTGTCCACTCAGAGGTAAGTCCCTTTCAGTTCAATGGGGCTTACTGTCAAGTAACTGAGTATGGGACTGTAACCTGCATCATCAATATAAAAATTCTTTCTAATCCTCTAGTCTTACTTGAACTGCAACACCCACGGATAATGGGTGCTGCAGACCATTCCTTGTTCTGAAAGAGAACAGTTATGAATAGCCAAGTTACTAATACCTTTTGGAGTCCACAAAAAGATATAATTTGCTATAGGATGCAAAGAAATCTAACTGCTCCCCCAGTATGTAGTAATGCATAAGAAACCCCAGGTGAACGGTGGATGCAAGCATACCTGGACGAAAGGCTGACTGCATTTTAAGTAGAGCTTCGTTGCAGTCGGACAAGAGGTACTTGGTTTTCCTGTGGTAGATCCGCACCACTCCTAACAAGAGGTGTCCTGAGGTTCGCAGGGCAAGTTTAAACTTGGAAGAAAGGTTTACATTATTTAACACTGATGTTTGTGGGAAAGAACACAATAAATAAGAACACAAGAGACCTGCTGAATCTGACCAAAGTTAATTTAGTTCGGCATCTTGCTTCTTACAGGGGTCCCCCAGATGCTTCAGGGAAGCCCATAAAACAGGACATGAAGAGGAATAGTTCTCCCACCCCACCCCCAGAAACTGGTATTCAATGACATATTGCTTCTGAACCACCTCGGTTCAGTCACTGACAGACCTATCCACCATGAATTTCACTACCCTCTCCCCCCACCCCACTTTTAAAGCCGTCTAAGCTAGTGGCGCTGTGGGTTAAACCACAGAGCCTAGGACTTGCCGATCAGAAGGTCAGAGGTTCGAATCCCTGCGATGGGGTGAGCTCCCATTGCTCGGTCCCTGCTCCTGCCAACCTAGCAGTTTGAAAGCACAGGGGTCCCTTTACCTTTTTAAACTAGTGGCCATGATTACATTCTGCGGTTATGATTTTGATATATGAATTATGCTTTGCAATATGGATTACCCTCTTCTTTTGTCTATCCTGAATCCACTGCCAATCAGTAGCATTGGATTCCGAGTTCAAGAATCATGGGAGAGGAGGAAAAATTACCTTTATTTTTCCCTCACCATGCTTAATTTTATGAACTGATATTATGTCTGCCCTTTGTTGTCCGTTTTCTCAACAAGCCCAACAACAACAGTAAAACAGTAAACAGATGTAACAAGTTGACAGGAACGATAGAGGCAGCCAATAGGATGTCAACATTATGCCCTCTAGTTGTTTTGAACTACAACTCCTATAAGTACTGCCAATGTTCAGGGATGAAGGAAGATGTGGTCCAAGAATATTTGCACACCTCGCCACAGGTGAAAGGCAGTATCTTCTATTTAGACTGCTACAAAGAGGAGCAAACATCTTAATATAATAAATGTGCACCTGGCTGATGGTACTCCTTTAAAAGGTAAAGGGACCCCTGACCGTTAAGTCCAGTTGCGGACAACTCTGGGGTTGCGGCGCTCATCTCTCTTTATTGGCCGAGGGAGCCGGCGTACAGCTTCTGGGTCATGTGGCCAGCATGACTAAGCCGCTTCTGGCGAACCAGAGCAGCACACGGAAACGCCGTTTACCTTCCCGCCGGAGGGTTACCTATTTATCTACTTGCACTTTGATGTGCTTTCGAACTGCTAGGTTGGCAGGAGCAGGGACTGAGCAACGGGAGCTCACCCCGTCGCGGGGATTCGAAATTTACTCCTTTAGAATGCTGCAAACCAGGTAACTCCCAGGTAACGAGAAAATTTCACCTTCTGAGGTGTCCCAAGAAGTAACTGTCTTCCTACCCTTTTTATTGTTCTTTTTCTATTTTAGTAATCAACAAAGGGTGCAGTGACATATACCCCATAACGATGGGTAAAACCTTAGGGACATTTCTACAGCAGATTTTTATGAGACATCTCAGTGAGGATCAAACCTTTGGGCAGAGAATATTTTCAATAGTCTTCTCTAAATTGCATTCAAATATATGAGATTTTTTGAGTTTCTTATCCCAGTGAGCAGCCAACCATATCTTGGCCAAAGGCCCACGGTTATTCATAAGCAGCTGCGTGTAGAACATTTTGCCAAGACTGTGTTCTTTAACTTGATGAGCTGAAGGGGGGAAAACAGAACAACATATATTAAATGCTGAATGTGGCATTTTTGTATCATTTTCAAAGCTATTAAGCAAAAACAAAACAAAAACCCCCCAACAACCTTGATTTGCAGTAAATGATTTAGAAGGGAGGGACACTGTTTTTGCTTAAGATTTCCAAGCTGTGCGGGCTTGCAAATTGTTTTAAACAAATGGCTGTGTACAAAAGCTAGGTAGCTTTACAACAAAAACAAAGAAGGTTGATTAGCTACTTCTGTACATAATATCATTTGTACATATTTCGTATCAATCTCCATGCAAGACTGTTGCACGCCACCTCAATCTCAGAGCGATGAGAGATTCCAGGGGTTCCAGGCACTTAAACCAGGGTTTATGCTTCCTTTTGGGAATGAGGCACAGCAGAGACTATGGTGTCGCTATTGATATATGGTTCCTTTACATATATTTGCAACCTGAGCTTCAAGAGCATCAACATTACAAAAGGGTCTTTTTAAAATCTCATAGCCACAGCCTTGGATTCAGCAGAAATCAAACGTTGTGCTCTGCATCTCTGTCTTTCCAACCTGCAGCTGGAGTTCTGGGCCACATCAAACTCCAGCTTTGTCCTAACTAAGAGCTGGAGAAGAGCCCCCACCCATTTGCCATCTGGCACAGAGTTCCCCTCCTTTGTTCGCTTAATGGCTCATCACCTGAACACAGGACTACAGCCTGTGGGTCCAGGGGTTAGAATGGGTCTGGCACCCAGTTTAACAACCCCAAGCCTTGATTATATTCTAACACTGCAGCCAGGAAGTTATGAGTTCGAGGCTGCCTGACTCCTCTAACAATTGCAACAAATAACCACCCAAAACAAAATGACTTTAGTACATCAGAAAAACATATATGTGAATTTTCTGAAACATCAAGGTTGGTCTCCAACAAAGGCATACTCACAATAGACCCATTTAAATCAACAGAAAAGTTACTCAGGTACATTAAATTCAGTGGGTCTACTTGAGAGTATGACGGTAAACAATTTTTATGCTTATTTGAAAACAATAAAACGTGAGCTTTATAGAATGTAAATCAATAAACTGTGTGCCATTTGCCAAGGCTACAGTATTTCTAAGCATTTTCACCTGGAAGTTGCAGCACTGAATGAGCCTATATGCACCTACTCAAAAGTAAGTCCGAAGATTGTAGCTGAAGCTTGGGACATTCCTGCAAAATAAAATAATATTATTATTTATGCCCCATCCATCTGGCTGGGTTGCCCCAGCCACTCTGGCTGGCTCCCTACACACACACAAACAAAAACAGTTAGATGTAATTTTGGGCTCAGTGTTTTGTTTTTAGGAATCACAAAGAAAAAACTAAAAACCCAGAAGAGCAGAAGAAATGAAACAGAAAAACAAAAACACCATATGTATTTTTGAGAAGTACTAGAGCACCAGAAGTTCTTGTGCTGTAGTAGAACAAAAAAGATTAGGGCAAAACACGGAAGAGAGCGAGAACGAATGAAAAAAAGAACAATTTACTAAATCGTAAGGGTCAGCATCCTGCATCTACAGATCCCCAGGTTCATTGTGGAGGAAGCCATGTGTTTTAAAGGTACAGAGCACAATTCATACTGGCCACCACAAATCACCATTAAGTGAAGAACTGCAAAGATGGCAATTGTGTGCCTGCATAGAAATGGCAATATTAGGTTAGAAGCCAACAGTTCGGTGCTTTTTTATGGGGGTATGTATACCAGTGCCGGATTTACATATAAGCTAAACAACCTAGGGTCCCACTCTATTGGGGGGCCCCCAAAAAAATTTAAAGGGGAAAAAACCTGGATTTTTCCAAAATACAAGACAAAAAAAAATAAGTTATGTGCAAATGGCTTTAGATACCTACTAGGTCCATCAATTACCATATAGCATATATTCAACACCAAAAACAGCGACAATTTGTTGACAAAGGACAGCTGGACATATAAAGGGCCCCATGACTTTCAGGTTACAAAGATTCATAAAATGTTTAGGGCCGGATTTACACATTTTATGAATCTTTGTAACCATTTACTGCATTCATTTTCCCCAATTCGAATTATAAAATGGTGATTTTCTTGACTCAAAATGAGATTATACCCCCCAAATTTTTTTTTGAATAAAAGCACTGGTTCTAAAATGCTTCCAGAGAGACCTCGCTTCCCATGAATGGACACAAGGCGCCAGAGGACCTTGTATGATCGCCCTCTAGAACCGCAGAAGCGGCGAGGGACCCCCGAAGGTCATCCATCCCAACCCGCCGCTGCCATGCGGGGATCGCAGAGGAAGAATCCCCGACCGTCGCCTATCCAACTTCTGCTTAAAAACCTCCAGGCGGTTTCCAACCAACCTTCCCAACGAATTCGAACACGAACTGAGAGAGAGAGAGAGAGAGAGAGAGAGGCCCGGGTCCGAAGCAAAGGGCAGCAAGGCGCGTGCACACGGAGGGGGGCAGCCTTGATTCGGAGTGAGGCTGCTTTAAGAGAGGAAATGGAGACGGCTGCGTTCAATTACCACAGGAGTGGCGTGAGGAGGAGGAGGAGGAGCTGCGGGAGATTGGGAGGCTTGTTAAGGCCCCTGAGGAGAAGGAAATTATTATTATTATTATTATTATTATTATTATTATTATTATTATTATTATTAGGTCAATAGAAAGGAGTGGAAGGAGGAGGGTTTGGGGAGCTCATGATTAAACGTGGACCCCACGTCGCAGGTTAATGTCAGCATTTATTTCTCCTCATTATTAGTATTGAGTCGCTGATTTGGAAGGGACCCCTAAAGGCCATCCAACCTTTCCTTAACCCGTGAAGGGAAAAAGCCCGCCCCTTCCCTCAGGCCCTAGATTCCTATCAGGGTTGAGTCCTCCGGAAGGGAAACACCCGCCTCCCCTCGAGGGCGAGCGCGTCTCGTGTGAGTCTCCCGTCGCGTGTTTCTTTCCCCTACACGTGTCGGCGCTGAGGGGGCTGCCGATTCCGGACTTGAGGCGGGTTTTAAGTGAGGCGAATATGAGGAGTCGGGAAAGGATGTAAAAGAGGTACTGCATAGATATGAGGGAGTGCGCTAACAAGTCAGACTGTTCAGGAAACCGGTCGGAATTTTTTTTAAAATAAGAGATTTTTGGCGCCTTTTTCTGAGGCGTTTGTGCGAAAGGGGGCGGGGCTTCGCGGGTATCTTGGGGAGCCCGCCCGCCACGCATGCGCTCTCCCCGCTTGCGGACCCCGCCCCCTCCAAGGTCTTTTCCCGGCCGAGGGGAAAAGGAGCTTCCGAGGGCTGCGCATGCGTGTCGTGATAGGCTCGTCTCTTTATTATCGCCTCCCTCGCCCAGCTGCGCACGCGCAGCTCGTTTAAGGTGCGCTGGTCCTTGGTAGGTCATGCAAGAGTGATGGAGAGACTGTGGTGGTGTTTCAGGTCGAGGCGGAGGAGGAAGACGACATCCCTGGTACCTATAGAGCTTAGCCCTGGTACCTGGAGAGGAATTGCACCAGCCCTTTCCAAATAAGCAAATCAGCCACGAAATTAAAAGACGCCTGCTTCTTGGGAGAAAAGCAATGACAAACCTAGACAGGATCTTAAAAAGCAGAGACATCACCTTGCCAATAAAGGTCCGTATAGTTAAAGCTATGGTTTTCCCAGGAGTGATGTATGGAAGCGAGAGCTGGACCATAAAGAAGGCGGATCGCCAAAGAATTGATGCTTTTGAATTAAGGTGCTGGAGGAGACTCTTGAGAGTCCCATGGACTGCAAGGAAGGAAATCAGCCCTGAGTGCTCACTGGAAGGACAGATCGTGAAGCTGAGGCTCCAAGACTTTGGCAACCTCATGAGAAGAGAAGACTTCCTGGAAAAGACCCTGATGTTGGGAAAGATGGAGGGCACAAGGAGAAGGGGACGATGGAGGACGAGATGGTTGGACAGTGTTCTCGAAGCTACCAGCATGAGTTTGACCAAACTGCGGGAGGCAGTGGAAGACAGGAGTGCCTGGCGTGCTCTGGTCCAGGGGGTCACGAAGAAGCGGACACGACTAAACGACTAAATAACAACAACATGAGCACATGTGGGAGTGGACTATGGTGGCTGGATCTTGGAATAGTGATTATTATTATTATTATTATTATTAAAATTTCTATACTGCCCATCACCCAAAGTTCACAGGGTGGTTTACAATATAAAAACACAAAAATTCATAACATAGTAATGACAAAAGCAGTACCCCCCAATAGATCACCCAAAAAGTTGTTCCACTTTTTGGGGTGAGATCACAGGTAAAAATCCCCCCCAAAAAAGAGGACATTAGGGGGTGCAGGCTTTTGTTGGGGGAGGGGCAGAACCTCAGTTAATTGAGTATTTTTTATGTCTTTCAATACCTATTGAGGATTTGGGGGGCAGCTGCCCCCCTCTTGGCCACGCCCATGGTAACCCCCCCCCCAAAGTTTAAATGATTGATAATAATAATAATTTTATTATTTATACCCCGCCCATCTGGCTGGGTTTCCCCAGCCACTCTGGGGGCTTATAGCACGTAAAACATTGGACATTAAAAATTTCCCAATATTTCACCAAAGGTCTGAGATAAGAGGAATGGTTTTTACCTGGTGTCTTAAAGATAACTAACAGGCACCCAACAAACTTGCCTGGGGAGAACACTCCACAAGCGAGGGGTCACCACAGAAAAGGCCCATTCTGCATTGTTTTATTTGGACTGCTTCCTTGTGTATTTTAAGGTGGGTGTTAATATTTCATTATTTTCGTAACTTAAAAAAAAATATTTGCTGCACTAAATGAACTACTAAATGAACTACTAAATGAACTACCTTGTTCAGCATGTGACATGTGCATATAACTGTTAAGCAGTTTTCCTAACTCTTCATTGTCTGATGAGTTAGCTGCAGGCTGGCCTAATTAGAATTGGCACTTCTGAGTCCAGACAGCGCTCAACTGCGACACCCATATAGTCTTTATAGACCTGTGCTCTATAAATTTGATCATCAGTCCCCTACCCAGGACACTGCAAATGTGAACTAATCACATCTGGACAGCAGGTGGTGCTGTATTTTCAGGGAAAGCAAAGTTGTAGCATAGAAGAGCTATATACCATATTAGCAGGACGTAAACAGAAGATTATCTCAGTAATTTCCATACTGTGTGTCTCGATACACTAGTATAATCTTAATGTGCCATGAGGGATAACTTTAAAATAAAATCTCCTATGAGCCTCAGGTGCCCGTTGCATCTCTGCACAAGTTGCATGATTCACCACCCAGGTCTTGCCTCCTAATCCAGGCTTCCTCAACCTCAGCCCTCCAGATGTTTTTGGCCTACAACTCCCATGATCCCTAGCTAGCAGGACCAGTGGTCAGGGATGATTGAAATATACTCTGAGTGTGGATTTCATGCTCTTTATTCAGCTCAAAGTAGTGAGGGGAATGGAAGTTCTCCTGAAATGTCTGCTTTATATACATTATTTACAATATGGGCCCCACATGATTGGCTAATTCCAGGATTCTCCTGTAGGCCAATCAGGTTGCGGATTCACTTCCACCTGGAGTTAGATTGGGTGGCTCCTGCGGACCAATGAAACTGCTGCATTCTGGATCCTATCGTTCTAGGACCGATCAGACTGCTGCATTCTGGATCCTATTGTTCTAGGACCAATCAGACTGCTGCAATTTGGATCCTATTCAACTCAACAGGAATTGTAGTCTCAAAACATCTGGAGGGCTGAGGTTGAGGAAGCCTGTCCTAATCAGTCTCTACTGGGGGAAGTTAATTCTGCTGTATCTCTGAATTAGTTACAGCAAAGAAGTTAAGAAGAGGCTCGCAAACAGATTTAAAGGGCATGTGGAGGTTGGAGATGGGAGGAAACTCATGCTGTGCAAGGCAAAGTTGTTCTGCTTTTCCCAAAGCACTCTTTTAAATACAACCCAGAGTTTGTTGGCTTGCTTTTGTTGCGCTGTAGTGTTGAAAGAGTGCATCGCAGGGGGTTGGACTAGCTCAGGGGTCAGCAACCTTTTTCAGCAGGGGCCAGTCCACCGTCCCTCAGACCATGTGGTGGGCCGGACTATTTTTTTATTTTTTTGGGGGGGGGAATGAACGAATTCTATGCCCCACAAATAATCCAGAGATGCGTTTTAAATAATAGCACACATTCTACTCATGTAAAAACACGCTGCTTCCCGGACTGTCTGTGGGTTGGATTGAGAAGGCGATTGGGCCACACCTGGCCCATGGGCCTTAGGTTGCCTACCCCTGGACTAGATGAACAGCTCTGCAGTATGGTGCCAGTGTGGTGTAGTGGTTAGGAGCAGTAGACTCGTAATCTGGTGAACCGGGTTCGCTTTCCCGCTCCTCCACATGCAGCTGCTGGGTGACCCTGGGCTAGTCACACTTCTTTGAAGTCTCTCAGCCCCACTCACCTCACAGAGTGTTTGTTAAAACAAAAAAAATCCTTCCAGTAGCACCTTAAAGACCAACTAAGTTAGTTCTTGGTATGAGCTTTCGTGTGCATGCACACTTCTTCAGATACACTGAAACAGAAGTTGCCAGATCCTTCTATATAGTGAGAAGGTGGGGAGGGGTATTACTCAGAAGGGTGGTGGGAATGGGTGATTGGCAGATAGCTGAGATGAGCCTGTTTGTTGTGGGGGAGGAAGGGAAAGGAGAATGTAAGCCGCTTTGAGACTCCTTTGGGTAGTGATAAAGGGGGATATCAAATCCAAACTCTTCTTCTTCTTCTTCTTCATCACCATCTTCTTCTTCAGTTCTGTGTTTCTACTCCAGATGGCAATAATGTGGTAACATTGGGGAAGCCTCATAGAACAAGCAACAGAGCAGAATAATGTGCCGACAGATCAACATAAATCCGTCACTAATGTGCTTATTACTGTGTCAGTGGCATATTGCAAAATATAAGTGCAGAAAGCGCCACCTGTCTTCAGGGACCGTACGTGGCATCTTAAAGTCCCCAGCTAAATGATGACTTGCCACTGCCTCTAATTTCAGGTTTCAGAGCAGCTGGAAGACACCGCTGCCTAGCAACAAGGGAAATCCTGGTGTGCTCAGGAGGGCTGAAAACAGCACCCTGGTTGCCTGTAAAACCCCTCAGGACCATGTGCTTTATGCGTTTTGCTGAGGAGAGTTTGCGCTCTCTCTCTTTCCCCCCTCCCCTGCGCCCCGATCTTGGCAAGTTTCCAAAATAACACCAGCCTGTTTATTTACTCCCAGAGCTTGCAGTATGAGCAGATTCCCAGAGGAGGTGTTGGAAATCTTCCAGAGGCGGCGGCTGCCTGTTTGTGAAGAGAGGGCGGTCAGCAAGCAATAAAACTATTGTTGAGGGTTTTATAAAACAGGCCTCTGCCTGGGCTGCTCTCCAGCAAATTAGAATGGGGAGAAAGAGAGAGAGAAGTGTAGTGTTGTGGTTAGAGGAGTGGTTCTCAAAGGGTGTGATGCGCCACACTGGTGAGGCAAGAGAGGATGGCATGCATGGCAGGAAGATTCAAGGACCATCAAAGAAACATCTAAACATTTCAGTGTAGTATAGCATAGTATCAAAATATCCATTTCCTGCAAATAAATAAAAAAATACCTTTGCAAAGTGATACTGAGGACTATCCTAGTTGTGATCCAAAATTGCTGTTCAGAGACAGTACTGGAGAGAAGAAGAAGAAGAAGGAGAAGGGGAAGGGGAAGGAGAAGGAGAAGGAGAAGGAGAAGGAGAAGGAGAAGGAGAAGGAGAAGGAGAAGGAGAAGGAGAAGGAGAAGGAGACGAAGAAATAGTGGCGGCTTGGGAAACCCAGCCAGGTGTGGGGGATATTACTATTACTGTTATTTTATTTACACCCTGCCCACCTGGCTGGGTTTCCCCAGCCACTCTGGAC